ATGTCTTTGTAAGCCGCCCAGAGTCCCCTATTGTGGGGGAGATGGGCAGGGGAGAAATCAATAAATAATAATAACAACAACAACAACTTTAGAACCCGAACCTTCCATTCAAAACGAAAGCCCGTTGCATCTTCCTCAGTGGTAGAAAAATACTAGAGTGAGATTGTTAGTACAGTCACTACTTAAGTAACCACTTATCCATTAGGTAAACCAGATTATCTGAAGTATCTTGGAAGGGAACAAAGATTTTTCACAGCTAAATTGTTGTAGGTGGATTTCTGGTAGCACCAAGTTACAGGTTAAATCCCGGGGAAAGTTTGGTTATTAAAATTTGTATGACTGCCCATCTTAAAACAATTTTGGGTGACTCACAGCAATAAAAGTATAAAAGCCATAAAAACATATACAACCTAAAAACCCAATGCCTTGATCCACCTCCCAGGGTGCCCCAAAAACTCTCTGCAGGCTCTACTGCTCTACCCCAGTGCCTGGGTAAAGAGCCAGATTTTAATGGCCTTCTGGAAGGCTAAGAGGGTGGGGGCCTGTCACAGTGCTGGGGGGAGTGTATTCCATAAGGTAGGGGCAGCCGCGGAAAAGCTACACTTCCTAGGCCTCACTAGGTGGCAATGTTTCAGGGAGGGGATCTGGAGCATGCCCATTGTATCTAGTGGGACAGGCAGATACCTCAGGGAAAGACAGTCCCGCGAGTAACTTGGCCTTTGCCACGTAGGACTTTAAAGGTGATAACCAGCACCTTGAATTGCACCCGCAAAGCAACTGGGAACCAGTGCAGTTTGCACAACAGGGCAGTAACGTGGGCAAACGTTAAGAAGCAGTGCTAGGTAAGGGCATTTCTTAAGAATTAGGGGTTAGCTGCAACCGACAGTAGACAGACTCTCTGCTCGCCCAGAGATTCACAATTTTTTATTTTTAAACAAAGCAGATATAACTGAGGAAGGTTCCCTTTGTGTGGGAGGAAGGTGGAGGAAGCCAAGGGAAGCATATGTGCATCCATTTTAGTTTAATCGCTATTATAGAGTAAGACCGAGTGGTTTGGTCAAGTGTTTCAAAGAAAAGCAAAATTTGAGAAGCGAACTGGAAGAAGGAAAAGGGAGTGTTTATATGAATTTGCAGAACTTTATTAACATGGGGTACTGCAGCAGGCAAATGATAAAAGAGGTGGTAGTAAGCAGCGGTTTTGAGCTTCCTGTCTCAAAGAAACTAAATCAAGTGAAAAGATCAGGGTATGATTTTTCCATGAAAGGCAAAGAATCTCAGCCGCTTTTATAAAAAAGACTGAGAGCAAGACAGGAAAACCTCTAAGTAATGCAGAGAAATAAAAAAGAATCCTTAATTAACCCACTTTTCAAATGATTGTTGCCTAATGAAATACATTATATAATTTAAACATTCCCCTCAGATTTACAAACTTAATAACAAACAGCAAGTATCAAATGCAAAGTTTAGTTTATTGTCATTATCACCCTCAAAGTGCATTCAGTATACATTTCTAAAATCTAAAATTAAATCTGACTTTTTCTACATATTTTGAAAATCCCCAGCTATACACAAAATACAACTAGAACGATAAAGTGCCCCAGCTCATACAACCACAAATGTTCATTTCTGAACTACTGACCCAAAAGGTTTCCAACTTTATGCCATCTCTCTAAAAGTATGTTTAAATGATATTAAAATTATATGTACCTGTATATCTCTGCTGTAGCATATGTGCAAATATTTGGGATGGACATTTTTTATTCCATGATTTGACTGTTGATTCTAATTTAAGGTCTACTTAAATAGCGTTTTCTTCACAGAACATGGAGGGCATTTGTGCCTAATGAAAAATGTATAAAGGAACATGCCCCAGATACTTCACAACAACTTCTATAATCAACACACCAAGTTCATTAGACTGTGAGGTAAAACACAATTTCCTAAGAAAGGAATAATGAATTGCTTCTGTAAGGCTATGAAGAAAACTACATGAGTGTAGAGCTGGACTTGAGGGTGTCTTTACCTTTTTACAATCACAGAAATTGCTGGCAAACTATAGATACTTCGGTTATCACAACACAGAAACAGAAATAAAAATTGGGATTATTTAGGGGAAAAGTGCATTAGGAAGTCCCAAACATTCCATAGTGTACTTTCACATTTAATTAGTTTCTGTTCTGCCTTACCCCTTTCATCCTCCCTACCCCATCCAGTTCCTTGGAGAACCGAGCTTAATTCTGTGAGTAAGAGATAGAGAGCCCTCGTCTACTACAAGGATTACTCAAGCCTCATGCGAACGGACTGAAAAATCTAAAACGTTCTGTATTCTTCTCACCTACTTCCCCAGCAGTTTCAATGATGGGCATCCTAAACACCTTAAATGTTAAAGTGTCATATTAATATTTTGCTATAATATTCTGTAAATAATCTTAGGACACTGATGGTATCCTGCTAGTGGTATGCACTGATGGTATTAAGAGGGAAAAAACATGTATCTTACAATTTTCCTGGTTAAATGTAACCATGAGTTTCCCCCTCCCACTTCCATTCTCAGACATTTTCTAATTAGATTTTAGAATGTGCTTAAAAATATCTAGGAATTAATATTCCTATAAACACTGTTAGAACTCTACCCCTACTCACACACTTATTTATTAACCATCCCAACATGGACTGGTATTATTTTGCTTGCCCATTTATGAATTACAGGAAGAAACAGGGTCAGGGATCCAGTAACTGCAACCAGAAGGAACAGCCATAGGAACACACGATCAAGCACCTGAGCTATAAATTTCCAGTCCTCCACAACCTAAAAAAAAGAAGGAAAAAAGTCAGTACCTTTCTTTAAATCACATTCAGATTTATTTGTATGTAGTCATTAGAAAATATCAAAGTGGGCAAAGGCAACAAAGTATCTATGTAAAAGCCGCAGCATAATAAATAGAACAGATATGAACCAGAAGTATGTGAACCAACTTCAAAATTATAAACTTCCATGGTATTCCCTATTATGAAAGGGAATTTCCCTTGTTACTCAACAATATAAATTACTGAAAGTGAATTCAATCATGGAATTAAAATTCCCAGTATATATGAGAATACATGTGCATGTTAAGGTTATTTTTCAGGCTTGAATCATACTCTTGACATAAACTGGAAAAAAGCAGGTCATGGTCAAACATGAGCCTTTGCTGGAGATAGAAATTGCTTCTCTCTCTTTTTTAACATGTTACTGACCCAAAATTTGACTCTATTGATCCAGCATAATAGATCAACTTATTCATACGATACTCATTACTCAAATGATAGTAAGATACAAGAAAAACTCTTCGGCTATTTAGATATTGCTACGTTGCCACTGAAGGAATTGTTTCCATCAGCAGAGCTAATGAGGGGGGTGCTTCCCTTCCTTTCAAAGACCCCATGCAAAAAGGCCACAGCATCTGAAAACAACCAAACAAATTAAGGTTCTACTGCACAACCTTGTGTGTTCCTGTTTCAGATGTCCAACCTCAACCACTGAAAGCCACACAACTAGAATACACACCTCATGTACTTCATTCTCTTTGACAACGTGTCTTACAATGTACCGGACAGAATTTAAGGCTGCTTCTAAAGTATCCCTAGACTCCTCGGATCCCCTGGTGCTGCTGGTTTCTTCCTTTGGTACCGAGTACCTATCTACGTGACTCCTCATACAAAGCAGTTTGGGAAGTCTGTGAAGAAAGAGTTTGCGGACCCATGGTGCCATCGCGTTGTGCGTCGACGAGGATCGATGATGAATGTTAATAGCAAAGACAGTTATCACAATAGATAACGTCACAAAAATCATGGTGAACACCAAGTACTCGCCAATCAGCGGTATGACTTTAGAAGAAGATGGAATGATTTCTTCTATGACCAGGAGGAAGACGGTGAGCGATACCAGAACCGAGGTGCAGAGGGAGATTTTCTCACCTTCATACGCAGGAAGATAGAAAACAAGGACGGTTAAGAAAGACAGCCCTATACATGGAATAATGAGGAACAGCGTATAAAAGAGAGGCAAGCGCCTAATTATAAATGAGTAGGTAATAAAGGGGTACCAGCAGCATCCATCCGTTCTGTTCCCTCTGATACCCGTTGCAGTTACTATTTCCCATTCTCCATTATCAAAGAAATCTCTTTTGTCTACTTCTTCATCCACAAGGATTATATCCACCTGAGAACCATCGTATGTCCAAGAGCCAAACTTCATGGAGCAGTTTTGGAGGTCAAATGGAAAATAAGTGACATCAATGGTGCAGGAACTTTTATAATTTGCAGGTGGGGTCCAAGCAATAGTGCCATCGTGTTTCACGATGGCTTTTGTAGAAGTTCCTTCAAAATGACCATCTGCACTGAAAGAATATCAGCAAAGAGTTAAGAAATATGTAATATATAGCTTTCCATAAAAAGCTACTAAATGTATGCCCGTTTTCCAGTGTAAAATTATTTTGAAATTGTATAATATGGCTTAAGGCAAACAAAAATTTTACTTAGAATATGTCCCCTATCAGGGTGCAGTGTAACTACAATGAAAATTATCAATTGAATTTTAAACAAATAGATAGGAGCTAATGAATAAGTAAAATCAGGATAGCTTATTTTGAATTATGGTCACATGATCCTCTTTGAAAGGAATGGCTGAAACTTTTCTGCAGACCAGTGTTTCTCAACCTTGGCAACGTTAAGATGTGTGGACTTCAACTCCCAGAATTTCCTAGCCAGCATGCTGGCAGGGGGATTCTGTGAGTTGAAGTCCACAAATCTTAAAGTTGCCAATATTGAGAAACACTACTGTAGACATTTCCACCCTTCTATAGGAGTGGATACATCAAAACAACTTTCTTCTATAACAGGTAAATAAGAAAACCAAAGATCTTAATGAGGCATTGCTCTTCTTTACATGAAGAGATTCTCAAATGAGGATCCAATTATCTTCTACCACAAAAGGTTGGAAAGTTCTCTGCTCTGAATGCTCTTGGGAATCTGCACAGCTCCTTTTCTGCTGCTTCTTGTTCACTTTTTCCAGAAAGACAAGTAGTCTACAAGTGAGGATATATTAAGGGGAATGCCCCTGGATTCATAATTCTCTCTGGGCAAGAATGCTTGTGCAATCATTTGGGTCATCTTCATTGGGAAACTAGGAGATTGAAGGGGGCACCAAACTCTTTTATTTCACTCTCCATCCAGGCCTTTACAGCCTGCTTTTCCCCATTCTCTTGGACCCAGTCTATGAGGCCAATCTGCCCCCTTAATATATTTTTAAAATTGAAATGCTTACTTATCATATAAAACAATATCTGGAATCCATATTGAAGCTGAAGGAACACGGATAGATGTTATTCCAGCATAGTCCTCAGGATCCCACTTCAGTTTTACATCAACCCATTCCTGCAAAGGAATGAAGACTTTTCTTCAATTTTACTCAGAACTTGAAACAGCTCAGAAGGCAACATTTGAAATATTTACTCTTTTATTATTAAAGTTGCTGCCTTGCTTCAAAAAATATTTGTTTGTAGTTTTGTTTGTTGCTTCTGATAAATTTTAATAGACTTCTTAAGTCAGGTGCGAAATAGTGGGATCAGCCTCCCCTGAGTGTACACTGGCTATACAAACAACCTACATCTGAGTTATCAGGGATCAGAAACTGTAATGCAGTGATCAGCTACTCCAAGAATGGATGGCAGGCAACCAATTCATACTCAGTTGAACACAGAAGCTAAGAGACAACAATTGGCCCAACATTAGTTGGAGCAGAAAGTATTTTTTTAGCTTGCCATTTTAGTTGCTGTTATGAAATACTGCAAAATTAGAACAAGAGATAAGGGTTGGAACATTTTCTACTTCAGGAAACTTTAGCAGTTTCGAAGTTGTATTTTTGCTTTTCTAAAAAATTGAAAAGCAGAGATTTCATGTTTCTCCCTCTCTCCCATCAGATAATATAGCCCAAATACTTGTGTAGATTATGGATACTGAGATGAATATGCAAACTTGACTCCTGTTCACTTGCACAGGAACATTTTCTGATTTAAATATTTCTGGAAAATCCACATGTCTGCTTAGAATCCCTTGCTGGTTTACTGTAAATCACTCAGAGATCTATAGAGAATCCTGATCTACCTTTTCTCTGTATGGCTTCTACGTTGATGCAGCCTGGGGATATGAATCACTGATCCACCAATGTTATGAAGGGGCCCAATCAAAACATTTTCAATAACTTACTGAACTCACCTGCTTCAGCCAAACATTTGTTGTCATCAGTTGATTTTTTTCATCCTATTGGGGAAAAAGTATGTTAGATATATCCACAGGTTTTAGAAGATAAAAGCCAGATAGTGCTTCAGGATCTGAGAGAAAATTTGGCAAGACTTCTGGTAGTTTCCCCCTTTCTAAATAGATGCTTTCTGAAGTACTGAAAGAGGAGAAGCATCTGACACTTCAATTTCATTCCCCCCAATAGTGGGAACAGCCCAGTAATGGCTATAAGCCACCAAACATTCAGAGCACCAAAAATATTATCATTGCTATTGCCCAAAGATACCAATACTGGTAGGAACAGCAGGAAACTTTTTGTTTGTTAAAAAAAAAAGACAGAGAACCTTTTTCATGCAGTTGGAAGGGACTTAGAGTTACAAGTCTTTTTTTAATATTCACCTGATATTGTAAACCATGTTTACTGGTAATCTATCACACTTCCACTTAATATGTGAAAGTCCTCTGATAAAACAAAGTGGTTATGGGGGGGGAGGAATTCCTGTCTCACCTGCCCTGGAATCACAGCTGACAGCACTTTAATTTTCTAGACATTGCAAGTAATTTCTTCTGCATCTCGAGCATAAAGTATGCTTATAATTATTAAGGCCACATTATCTTCCAGGAACATGACAGAAGCTCTATGAAACAGCCAACATATGTCTTCAGATCATTTGCAGCTGATAACAAACTCCTTCATTTTAAAACATATCAATTTTCTAACATACCACATCCACCAACTGGGAAATTGCAAGACCAAATTTCACTTTGATGGTATCATTCAAGCGCTCGACTGGCCGAACCCATCGTTCATAGTCTTCAAATAAATGTTTAAACAAACGGTCTTCACTTTTAGCAATAAAAGAAGGTTCAGATATACCTGCACAAAGGATGATAATAAAGTTTTATGTTTAAATTTACAGAGAAAATATGAATATTTAATTCATATTAACTGCCCATACCACAATGGAAAAGATTTGGCATAAAGTTAAGCATCATGAAAGCTACAGTTCCCTTCTGTTTAAACAGAGACAATAAAAGAACAGGCAAAGCAACTGTATCTCTCTGACTTGGCAGATTTAGCTTCTGACATTATCAGTGAAGTTAAATCGGATGGCAATCCACTAAAAATTGTGCTCAGGACTCTTTGAGACTCATTTCTTTCCCAGCAGTTTTCACATCTCATACATATGCAGCTCAATACAAGCCTGTTTAGTACATAAACAAGTATATTTTGCCAGGAATTAAACTAAAGGGGCTGCAAACTAATTTGGCAGCTACCTCTGCCTTCACAAACATAACTGAGAGATGCATCTCAATGAAGCTGATGAGCTGGAACTATATTCTAACAAATTGCATATCCAGAATCTTCTTTTTATCAGCTGTGTATCATTTTCATCTGCACAAAAAACCTTGCTTCTAAATTCTAATTGCTGCATGCAAATTTTAACCAATCAGCATGAGTCACCTAGTGCTGAGTAGGAGCAGCAGGCATGGAAAATATGGATGCTGACTCAACAATATTCTGTTAAGTTGGCTCATACTCAAAATTTATCATAGCATAGCAAACTTTGCCTGCTAAGTGGATTTTGCAAACTTCACAGTGACCCAGTAGGATGTTTGAGTTCTACATTACTGTTTATGAAATGTCATCAGTTTGTATACTGATTGCTCACAATAGCATTTCTTACTCACTTTATATACTAGCTGCTGCTTATATTAGTATTCTTTACTCACTGTGCACTGGCATCTTTAAATTAAGAGCTCAGCAGAGCAGAGCACAAAAACATTCCCTTCTGAATTATCTGAAAAGTGTTTGATGTTTATTGACATTTATGTAAATAAGTGTAATTATCCATGTTGCGGCCTCACAAGCTGTCTGGCAAAATCACGGACAATAAAAAAAAATGCTTCAGACAACCATTATATAGGCCAGCTAAAGGGCAGTTCCCTTGTGGATCTCAGTTGCCATCTGTTACAGGAAACAGAAATCACACCCAGATAAATAGAAGAACCCTATACAGATGGAGTTGGAAAAAAGCAGGAAAAAAAGAATATTTCAGCCACTGTCCCCAGAAGCCAGTGGTAGATCAAACACAAAGATGAAGAGTTAAAGGTGAAAAAAGGAGAAATTATGGAAGCACAGGTTTTATATATACTCATACAGGGTTTGATTATTCTGTAGATTTGTTGGCATGAATACAAATTGACAGTTTATGTAAATACATATGTAAATTAGGCAGAGCCTTCAGACTCCTAGCTGCCAGGATGGTAGGCAACTGTATTTTATTCGTAACTGCACTGAGCATAATAACTACAGTAGTTTCCAATACCAGTAACACTGTATTGCCCCTGGGATGGTCTCTTCCACTTAAAAAACTCAATACTTGCTTTCGCAGCAATTGCCAACATATTTCACATAGGGAATTTCATTTCTGGAGAACTAAGGGTTACATGTTCATTGCTCCCTAGCCTACTGAAAATTTTACAAGGCAAAAACACATCAAGGGGTGGAAAGGGAATGCACAAGTGGTTCCCAAACCATTAATAAATTGTATTGCTTAACATTTCATGATGGGATTCTAAAATATTGTTACTTATTATGCAGTATTTCTGTAGCCTTAAATGTCATGAAACCTAATCCTATTTATACTTAACTTAAAAATAAGTCTTTTAAAGTTCAGTGGGATTTGCACATAAGCAGCTTAGGACTGCAACCTAAACTTAGCCTCTGAGCTCATATTTTAAAATGTAACAATTCAAAGATATTTTTAAATTGTTTACCGAAGAACAAAGCAACAATTTATAATTTACTAGCATGCTGAATCACCCATATTTTACTTCAATACTTATTCCAGCACTTTAATATACAAAATGCTATGAAATATTCTCATACTCATTAGATAAGATGCGTTGATAATTATTTTCTAGGGCTATGCAAATAATTTGAAACCGCCTGATCACCTTGTTTTGCTCCAAAAAATGAAATAAAATGGCTACACATGTGCAGAAGATAGCTAGTAGCAATTCTGAAGCAGCAACTCAGTGAAAAGTTCTGGTTCACGCACTGCAGAGCACCTCTTTCAGAAGATTTGCAGTGTCGTGCTATTTTCCGGCTACTAAAGCAGAGAAAATCATGCCATACCTATTCTATGGCTAAACAGGGACTTAGGCCTGGCTCAGAAGGTTATGCTTTCAGTTCAAGAAACACAAAGATTCCATCTGTTGTAATAATATACAACTATTTTTTAATCTAAATGATGAAACTATTTGTGATTCAAACTGCTTAAAAGAAAAAGAGATTTTTCTGCTTGTTCTGATAACTGAACATGACTGTCCTCTTTTTCATGAAATGTATTCCTTGATCACTGCATTTAGAAATAATTCTATTACAATTCACAATTTGCTCAGGTTGTATTTTTTAAGATTGATTATGTGCCATCAAGCTGGGGTTGACTCTTAGTGACCACATAGATGGATTTTCTCCAGGAGGATCTGTCCCCAACCCGGTCCTTCAGGTCTTCCAACGGTGTACCCATCGTCACGGTAATTGGGTCATTAGATTAACTTTATGCCAATAAACTTGATGTTCTCTACTGCACCACAAATTGTTTTTCTTCTCACTTCACAACAGCCAAATCTAAAAGAAATGTTCAAGTTAGTTTTTTCTATCCCATTTCTCACAGAAGGAAGATAACTTAAAAATCCCCTTGCAGCCATTAGGACTCAAAACACCTATACAATTTCCATTTTTATTAAATATCTATCCACTTACCTTATACAACAGAGAGTTCAAACACATTTAACCACCAAATTTGATAACAATCTTATTTGAACAAAATTGTTTCCTGCCTTCAACTGTGATCACAGTCTTTGTACACTTCTTTTTATTTGCCACATAATATATATTTTAACTAACTTGTGTTTCAGGAGGCATTTTTCAGAAGTAACCCCACAGATATTTTTGGATATAGACAATCAAAATATTACAGAAGCAATCATTTTAATGAGAAAAACAATGGCCATAGTTTACTATAACAGGACAATGAAATTGCATGTACCCAGAATGGGAAGCACCTAGTAAAAAAGCATGCATGAATAATATATATTCAAAAAGAAACACTGCGTTGACATTCTCAGTGGGTTTCTTCCGAAAACAAACAAAAAGCACAAACTTCAAATCTGTTTAACCTGGATCTATCAAAACCGTTTTCATTAGATAGAGGGAAAAACTCCTAAAGACATTCTGCTAACTTCTGTTTCTATTCTACACATCCAGAGTTATAAAAATAATGTCTAAACCCTCAATCATCCTTCAGATCAGGTTGAAACTATCTATCTCCCCAAGACAAAAATATGTCAGTGCAGTCTAAACCATTCAAATCTCTACCACAAAAGCTCTTTTTCCAGTAACAACCCTGGGTAAAAACAGAAATGTCTTTTGCTCCTTGTCTGTTTCGGTCACTGCAAATTAAGCTAAAAAAGATGAAGTCAAGATGAACTCTTTCGAGAGCTCCTGAAAAGAGCAGTGGCTTGGCAGATGCCTATTTAAAGAGGAGACGGGAGGAAGAATCAGACCCTCTTTTGGTTTAAAAGAAGTATTTTGTTCAACCTGGGCAAACTGAATTATTGCGTGAATGAATGCACACCTTGCTACACTCTGTCTTTCGAGATGTAGTTTTCCCTTCCTTCTCACCAATGCAGCACAATCGAGTGTGGCAAGCCCCTCTCACCCCCCCTGTTAACCACTGCAGTTATTAATGTTTGAACCTGCACTTCTAGAAAAAGTCTTACACATAGTAAAAAAACAGATTACAGTCTCCCTTAGAGATGGGTGGAGAGATGAGGTTGCAATTTTTGTCACCAGCATAAGAACAGTAACCCTGCAATTCTACTGCAGGGTAAGGCTACAATACCCCCACCCCACTCCACTTATGGGGCATTAGCCCCACCGAAATACAGCGGGAGCAGCTTTCCAGTAGAGAAGCCCAGAATTAAGGTGGGAAAAACAGCCAATATATAGCACTATACATACATACATACATACATACATACAGTGCGTGGATGGATGGATGGATAGATGGGTGGATGGAGATAGATAGATAGATAGATAGATGGATAGATAGACAGATAGATAATTATTAACCACTTTGTTTTGGGAGACATGATACAAATAACTGAATTAAGTATTCATATTCTACCTGGAACACAGGTATGCATATACTATGTATAAGGCAGAGTATGGCAAATATATGCACGCATATATATCACATCTATGCGCGTACAAATATATGTATTTGCACACTCACGTACTCTCCCCTCAGACACCTCCAATGGATAGATGGATTTGCATGCTCATGCACACCTGCATCCCTCCCCCAAACCACCTCAGGGTTATTTAGTGATGGGAAGCAGTTTATAAATAGTTTTAATAAATAAATCCTCCCCGCCCAGCAGACAAGTTTCTTTCAGAGTTTCTATTACATGCAGCAAAAGTCCTGCGCAATAGTTGGACCCTATCCGCCCCCACCCCCGCCAAGCCACTTCATTCCCATTTATTTTGACGGGGGTCCCAGGCTGGATGGACCTCCCTCCCCCGATAACTGCCCCTTCACGAGAGCCCCTCGCGTGGTCTTATTTGACTACGCGGGCCAGCCGCTTGACGCGCGTCTTGGGTCCTGACGCGTTCACACGAACACGGCTGCCCGCGTTTCTCCGCGTTACCCAGAGAGCGGGCGTCGGCGGCTCCGTGGCTGGCGGGAAGGAGGAGCAGGAACAGCAGGGGAGCCTCCGCCATGGTCCCGCGCGGCGAAAGCGGCCGCAGGACGCGAAGGAAGGCGCGGAGCCGCTCTCCCTCAGCCGCGCTCCGACCAGAAAAGCCCGCCGCCCGGCAGCCGAAGCCCCGCCCCGGGGCGGGGCCAGAAAAAGGCGGGAAGCCCGAGAGGCCGCGCCCCCGCAGCCGGATTAGCCTACAACTCCCAGCAGCCTCCCAGCTCCATCCCCAGCGAGGGGCTGATGGGAGTTGTAGGCTATCCCCCCACTCCCGGTTAGTGCGGTGCAGCGGCGGAGGTGCTGCCCTGAGGGAGTGGGGGGGATAGCTTTGCTCCAAATGCTGTCAAACGCAGGCCTACCTCACAGGGATGTTGTGAGGATTCCTCAGGATACATACGCCGTAGCAACTGAATAAAACTGTTTGATAAACACGGCGAATGATCTCCCTCATTACTCTGGAAGTTGCTTTGGGCGGGTTGAAAGCTTAATTTTTGGTATTTATTGGAGAGGCAGAGCTATGCAGGACACGTTTCTCAGTTCAAACCTTGGGACTTAAAAGATGGAAAAGG